GGCCCCAGCCTATAGTTATCTTAATCTATATGGTTAGATATCAGTATTGTGATTAACTTTAGGGTTGCTGCATAGAGACAAGAAGGGAACACAGTGACTCTGGGATGCTGTTTCACAGGACTGTTCACTTTTGTGAAAACTCAGCTGGATACTGTAGTATACTTTTCCCTATGTTCTACTTTATAAAAAGTTTAATAATTATTGAAATAATGCCTTTAGATTAATAAAATTAATATGAAGTATTAGAAAAAGAAGTGCAGGGACATTCCAGATTACTATTTTCTTAAGTTGTGATTAGAAAAAACTATTCTGTGAGAGGCAAAGAAAGAGAGAGTGTTCACTCTTGAAATGCCCACTATGGCTGGGACTAGAGCCAGGAATCAGGAGCTTCATCTGGGTCTCCCATGTGAGTGCAGGGGCCCAAGCACTTGAGCTGTCCTCCACTGATTTCAACCTCAGTTGTGATTTTCAGTGAGAAGAGGGGCTGATTGGCCTAGCAGTTACAATGTCATTAGGATGTTTGTTGCCCCATGTCCTAGATAGAAATGCCTGGGTAGGCCCTGGGGTACAGCAGTGATGACTCAAGTAATTGGGTTGCTGCCACCATGCAGGACACCTGGGAGTTGCTGGCTCCTGGGGGGTTGGGGAACAACTTGGGGAATGAACCAGTTGATAAAAGCATTCTCTTTCTCTCTTTTTAATTTCTCTTCCTCTTTCTGTTCGTCTCTGCTTCTTTAAAAGATACAAGGTAGCATCAAATCAAAAAGTGTGTAGAAAAATTGAATTAGGTACAAATAATGCAGACTTTCCATAAACTGAAGTCCCTTGTACATAAATCGTTTATTAAAAGATGTTTAGTTACTTAGAAAATATTAACCTATATATGCAGTTTGGAGTGACCTTTTATAACTAGGTAAAAGCTTATGACAGGATTTCAAGGACTTTAAACATCATAAACTAATCACAAACATGAGAATAGCTTAATATATATGTGGACAGACAGAGGGCTTATCTAGCTTATTCACCTAGTGCTTTTCTTAAAGTCAGCATTGCAAATTTGTTGAGGCATTCCCTGTTTGTTGTATGATCAACTGTCTTCTTAATCTGTTTGGAGTGTTACCACTTTAAAAAAAAACTCTTTTGTGAGTGAGATAACTGAAGATAATGTCTTCTTTTAATATTTATTCATTTAAGATTTATTTATTTATTTGAAAGGAGAAAGATATTTTACATCCCCTGGTTTATTCCCCCAGGGTCAGGACTGGGCCAGGCCAGAGCCAAGAGCCTGGAACTCCATCTGGATCTCCCATATGGGTGGCAGGGCACCAGATACTTGGGCAGTCTTCTGCTGCTTTCCCAGGTGCATTTGCAGGGAGCCAGACTGGAAATGGAGCAGCTGGGACTGGAACTGGAGGACTGATATGGGATGTAGGTGCTGGAAACAGTGGCTTAACATGCTGCACCACAACACTGCTGCCTAGTTTTTATTTTAAAAATTATTAATGAAATTTAAAAATATGCTTAAAATTAATCATGTGAGTTTAATATTTTGAGAATTATTTAAGCAGTTTAGACTGATACTGCTCAGTGTAGTAGCCATATAGCTACTAGTTCCGTATGGCTATTGAACACAAATTAGAGTTAATTTGAATTGAGATGTATCATAAATATAAAATACATATTGTACTGTGGACTCTTATTGCAAAAGGAAGTAAAATACCTCAATAATCTTTTGGTGTGGGTCAGTTTCATGTTGAAATAATGTTTTGGATATGTTAGGTTAAATAAATTATTAAAATTAATTTTCCCTGTTTTCTTTTTATGTTTTTAGCGCGGTCACTAAGCAGTATAAATTGTAAACTGTAGCTAGCATTATATTCTAATAGGCATGATGATCTGGATAGTAATCTAGTCATTTAGATGATTAGGATCTGGAATAGGGTAACATTTATAGAAAATACATAAGGTTGGCCAGCGCCGCGGCTCAATAGGCTAATCCTCCACCTGCGGCGCCAGCACACCGGGTTCTAGTCCCTGTCGGGGCATCGGATTCTGTCCTGGTTGCTCCTCTTCCAGTCTAGTTCTCTGCTGTGGCCAGGGAGTGCAGTGGAGGATGGCCCAAGTCCTTGGGCCCTGCACCCGCATGGGAGACCGCATGGCTCCTGGCTTGGGATCAGCGTGGTGCACCGGCCACAGTGGCCATTGGAAGGTGAACCAACGGCAAAGGAAGACCTTTCTCTCTGTCTCTCTCTCTCACTGTCCACTCTGCCTGTCAAAAAAAAATTAAAAAAAAAAAGGAAAGAAAATACATAAGGGATTTATAAGAGATTATACAATATACATATATACTATATAATTTTTGTTATATTAAAGAGTATGTTACAGTTTTGGTGTGCTGTCATCATGGCTTTTTTTTTTTTAAGATTTATTTTATTTATTTGAAAGTTACAGAGAGAGGTAGAGACAGAGGTCTTCCATCCACTGGTTCACTCCCCAAAAGGCCACAGCAGCTAGAGCTGAGCTGATCAGGAGCCAGGAGCTTCTGGGTCTCCCATGTGGGTGTAGGGGCCCAAGGACTTGGGTCATCCCTCTGCTGCTTTCCCAGGCGTGTTAGCAGGGAACTGGATCAGCCGTGGAACAGCCGGGACTTGTAGTGGGGCCCATATGGGATGCCAGTGCTGCAGGCCAGGGATTCAGCCTGCTGTGCCACAGCACCAGCCCAGTCATCATGGCTTTATAATATGTTATAAGCTTTTTGAGAGCAAGCACTATGTCACTTTTTATACATTTTTCTCTATATCTTTTGCTGGGTGCATAAGGGCGTTGATTGAACAAGAATTAATAGAATGTCAAATATTTTAAAAACTCGGATTTGAAATTTTTTTTTTTTTTGACAGGCAGAGTGGACAGTGAGAGAGAGAGACAGAGAGAAAGGTCTTCCTTTGCCGTTGGTTCACCCTCCAATGGCCGCCGCGGCTGGTGCGCTGCGGCCGGCGCACCGCGCTGATCCAATGGCAGGAGCCAGGAGCCAGGTGCTTTTCCTGGTCTCCCATGGGGTGCAGGGCCCAAGCACCTGGGCCATTCTCCACTGCACTCCCTGGCCACAGCAGAGAGCTGGCCTGGAAGAGGGGCAACTGGGACAGAATCCGGCACCCCGACCGGGACTAGAACCCGGTGTGCCGGCGCCGCAAGGCAGAGGATTAGCCTAGTGAGCCGCGGCGCTGGCCGGATTTGAATTTTTATGATACAGATCAGTGATTCCTGGAGTCCTTAGTTCCTAATTACCAGCAGTACCACCAGTTAGTCATATCAGAGGTGGCTTTTTTAAAAGATGCAGATGCAGGGGAATTAGCATCTAGTCTCATGAGGATACTTCAAAGGTTCATGGAAAATGGAATTAAAAGATAAGTTTATTTTGGTGAATACAATTTTGAATTCTGTGCATATGAGGCGTCTTTAGGAAAGTTCATGAGAAATGTGGATTTCCATGTGGAACACATGGATTTCAATTTTTTTTTATTTTTAAGTTCTTGTTCCCTACATACCTTCTGAAGTGAATTATTCTTGTATATGGGATACTGTACAGTCTCCCGCATCCCCCACACTTAATCCTTCTGTTGTGGGCAGTGGGGCCCTTGACTGAGCTTATTCTAGGCTCTTTCCTCCATGCTTGGAACAATTCAAGGTAGAGGGACAAAGGTGTTCAGGAAAGTGGAAGTTATTGAAAGAAAAAATATGCTCTCAAGAGATAAGCCCAGGCAAACTCTAGGGAAGGAGAGGAAGGAAGACAGAGACACACACACACATGCACAGAGAATGAGCTCTACCTCCCAACAAATGAGAGAGGGAGAGAACAAAACACACACACAAAACCACAAAAAATACCCCCAAACAAGGGTGAGGCCATCCATTTATACCATCTGAAGGTATAGGGGGTAGTATCTGGGGTGCAGTTTAATTACATTTTCAAAAAAGGCGGAGTTCGGGGTGAGGCTTGAGTACCTCATGTTTCTGTGCTCCCTTTTGGAAATATTAGAAGTGTCACAGTATCAGGTGCATGATGGGAATGGGAGTGCCCCATAGGAATTTTATTATAATGACCTAAACGTTATCTAAGGGACACATCCTGCAGCCAATTGTATATTTCCACCTGGCTCTGGTTTTAAGTTAGCAACATTGTGGAACTTGTGATTTCCACTAGGACAGCGGGGGGCTTGGTGGTCCTTGGAAGGTAGATTTGGGCAGTGCACAGGAAGTAGGTTGGAGTGTGCACGGAAAGGAAAGGGAGTGTTTTGGTGGTGCAGATGGGGCTGTTACGCAGGATGGGCCAGACTGTCATGCAGGGGCCAGCACTCACTCGCTGCATATATCCCTTGAGGTTTTGGCTGAGGCTGTCACCTGTGAGATCAGTTGCAGCTGCTTGTCACACTGTGGACCACACAGCTGGCAAGTCTGGAGCTGTCAGACCTCAGCTCCTTTCTGTAGTCACCTCCTTGTCAACATCACTTAAGTAATCCTGTGAGGAAGGTGCTAGGCTGTACAGAGTCATTTACCCCAACCCCCATTTAATCCTTATTAATAATCCTATGAGGAAAGTAGCAATTACTATTTTACAAATTAGGATATAGACTGAGTAATTTTTCCAATGTTAATTTTACCAATCCAGATATGCCCAATTTCAAAACTGGTACTTTTCACTGGAGCTTTCTATTCTATCAAAGTTAGTCAATTATTTAAAGTGATTCTACTATTTTGGTTGACATGAAGTAAAGAATAATCATTAGAATGAAATGTATATAATGACAAATTTTGACATAGATTTCGTATTTAACAAGAGAAGAAATTTAGAAATACTCCCGAAAACCTGAACAGAAAGAAAAAAAGGCATATATGTTTCTTATTCTGATTGTATTTATATATTTTCATTCCAGATATTTATAGTTCATGGAGGGTAAAATAAGATTGTAATAGTTTTAAGTTTTTTTTTTTTTATCTTTCAGAAAAAGTCAAAGTTAAAGAGAAAGACAAAGAAAAAGAAAAAAAGAAGCATAAAGTAATGAGTGAGATCAAGAAAGAGAATGGAGAAGTAAAGATTTTACTGAAAAGTAAGTTTATGTGCAATACTTAGTGTACTTACTGGTGCAGTTATTAAAATAAGAAATGTTACTTGGTGCTGGCTTTTGTTGAGAAGAAACAATGATAAGGGCATGAAAAGAAGCATCACAGTGGGAATTCAAACTGTAAGGTAACTTGTTTTTAATATTGATTTATGAGCCATTAAAAATTACTAAGATTAAGCTTCACTAAACCATTAGATTTCCTTAAAATAAATTACCTAATTCTGTGTTTGCATCACTAGTCTTTATCCATGTTTAGATAATTTAAAATAAAATGCTAAAGCAATTTTTAGCAGTATAGGGATTACTAAGGAAGTGATCTTAAAAATAATTTACCATCACGTTATAGTCTAGAACTGAGACAGGACGTTTTACTCTTGAGCTAGATCAGAAACTGTTTCTTGCTTGCTGAAGAATATTCTGGTTGGTTTTTTTTTTTTTTTTTTTTTGTATACAACTGAGGTTTATATTTGGGAGTGGAGCAGGAAGAAGAATTAAAGAGTTTGGTAGTTGGGGGATAGATATACTACAAATGTTATTAATTTATCTAAACTTTTCCAGAGTGAATTGATTGTAGACGTAAAGACAGACTGAAATTGACTCAGAAAGCTGGGTAAGAACAATCAATGGCATTCATTTGCTAGATAGCTAGCAAACTCATTAGCTGTCTTGTCAGGTTGACAGTTGATCAGGACATGTTGCCCTTGATTAATTTCAGTTGAATTTATATTTATAAGCCTTTATATCCACATGAGGGAGAAAAGGCTATAGGACTGTGTGTATAAATGAATAACTAGTTAATTGGTATTATTTAGGTTGAATAGAGTATGAGATTCCATATTCCCATTTCATTCTTGGTCATGTTTTCAGATGTTCTTTGGTGGTGGTACTTTATATAAACTCTATTATACATGCAAAATGTTACTTTCTATAATATCCTTTTGATTTTGAAGGAATATGTCTGAGCTTCAGATGATGACTACTTAGTTAATGCATATGCACCTTTGCTCTGCTTCTTTTGCTGGTGTGTTTTATCTGTGTGGTCTAATTAGATTGTAAAGGAGGCAGAAATTGAGTCTACCCGCACTAGTGTTGGGCAGCAGCTAATAATTAATGCTTGAAATCTTTGCTTCATCCCGTTGGTTTAGTCAAATAGTGATTTTTTTTTTTCAACTGGTTTAGCAAATACTCATTTTGTTACCTATTTGGGTGTGCAGTGTTGTAAATTTCTTTCACTTGAGAAATAATCTGTGCCTTAGAAATATTGTATAAAACCCGATGTTTTCAGTTGTATACAAGCTTTTAACATTGCATTGTTGAGGTATGAAAATCTAGAGATATTTATGCAAATAAAATTGAATATAGAGATTTTCTAGGAATATGGAATGTTAACTTTGACTTTGAAGTAGAGAAAAAAATTTAGATGTTTTGAACTGAGCTACACTAAAAGTAGCGATAAGGAAAAATGAATGAGGTAGATTTGGAAGTTAATTTTTGACTTCTGGGATGACCAATGGAAACATTTAGGGAAAATTTATCTACTGTACAATAAAGTAAGTAATAAGTTAATTACTGCTTTACAGTGATGTAAAAATTAAATGAAGGATGAGTGGGATGAACGCCACAGATACTCCAAGTGGATATGAACCTTTCTCGTAGACATGTATGGAAAATTTACTTTTGTGATTAAAAAGCAACAAAGCCCAAACTGTCTCCTGTCCTCAGTGGGTAGTATATCCATAGATAATTAAATGACTAAAAACGTGGTTCATTTGGAAAATCCTATCCCATTGTATACACTGAGTAAATGTTACCTTTTGTTATCCAGAGAAAGTGATTTGCACAGCAAGTATGGCCACGTCCTGAGTGAGCATGTAGGTTAGGGAAAAACTTCCTTTGTTGCTGGTTTTCTGGAGTAACTGCAGAATCAATTTGATGGGGACAGTGCACTACTATTTACCACTGTGTGTCCTGTTTTCCTTACAGCCTCCACCTTTGTTCTCTCCTTACGTCTTTCTTCTGATAATGCTAATATTGCAAGCTATGACACTGAGGCACTAACTGATGATAGTTTGAAAGTATGAAATAGATGTTAACTCTGTTCCAGACCAACCTTACTTCCGGAAGGTTTTTGTATGAGTTGAGATAGATACACAATTATATCTGTACTAAAAAAATCTTATTAATGCAAAAACTGTGTATTTTTTACAGATAAAATAGCTGGAGTCTTATTTAGTGGGTCTCATCCTTTTATATTAAAATTGTCCAAGTACTTTTTCTGAGCATATGTATATGTTCCAGCCACTTTAATGTTGTTTATTAATGACTTATGATTATAATATTTTTTGAGAAAAAATTTTATCATTTTGGCATATCAAACTTGGCTGGTAAAGAGGTTAAAAAAGAGGGTTAAAAGAAACCAGTGTCCAAGGTTATTGATAGTGTACTAAAAGGCACAGGCAGGTAGGTAAATCATGGCAGGAAGAATGACATTGTGGGTGAGAAAAGCAGTCATTTTCCAAGGATCAAATGTTGAAAACAGTGAAGCTAATTACTACCCTTTTTCTGTGTATGATATGGGAGTTTTAGATGCTAATTTTCATATTATATATGAAATCAGATTCAATGTTTTCTTCCTTATATTAATACAAAAGGTTACTAAAGTTAGTGATAGAGTTTAGAATTTTTTAAAAGCACACTCCTATGTTATACTGTCACATCTGTTTTTTGTTGTTTAAGTTTATGTATTTATTTGAAAGGCAGAATGACAGAGATCTTGCATCCACTGGTTCACTCCTCAGATGCCCCCAACAGCTGGGGCTGGGCCAGGCTGAAGCAAGGAGCCAGGCTCTCCGTCCAGGTCTCCTACATGGGTGGCAGGGACTGAAATCCCTGAGCCCTCACCTCCTGCCTTCCAAGGTATGTGGTGTGCATTGTCAGGAAGCTGAATGAAAGCACAACTGGAACTCTAAACTAGGCACTCTGATGTGGAATGCAGGCATCCCAACCAAAGGCTTACACAGTACCCACCCCCTGAATTTATAATTTTGGAAGGGTTGTTTTCATAATTGGCCATTAAGAGCATGTGTTGTTAGTATCTATTTCTGTATGGTTCTTTCTGTTTTTCTGGCTATATGTTTCTCTGTGTTTCTGTTTCTGATTCTCTGGCTCTTAAGTCTGGCACTCTCCTTAACTCTCCGTGTAAGTTTATCGGTGGTGCGCTGTGTGTGGTGTGTGTGTGTCTGTAATCTACTATGTGTATGTATCTGTTGCTTTTGGGATATAGATTGTCCCCATCAACCTTATACTTTTAATTGTGTACTTCTTCAGGATCTGGATTACTTGGCAGTTCTATTATTTCTGTTCCTTTACTTACCAAGATCCTTTATTGGGTCTGATTTATTGAGTTCTGTTTGAATGATTTAGAGTAATGTGTACTTTAGATATTTTTAACGCCAAGGACATTTCAAAATGTCTGTGGTCGGGGAGGGGTGTTTGGTGCAGAAGTTAAATTCTACCTGGGACATTGGTATCCCCTGTTGGAGTGCCAGTTTGAATACCGGCTGTTCCACCTCCAAACCAGCTTTCTCGTAATGTGTACCCTGGCAGGCAGCAGATGATGGCTTAAGTAGTTGCATCCTGTTATCTAGGTGGAAACTCTGATTTGGGTTCCAGGCTTCTGACCTGGCCTAGCCTAGCCTTGAGGGGCTGTTGGGGGCATTTGGAAAGTGAACCAGTGAATGGAGGATTGATCTCTTCCCCTTCTCCTGCTTCTTAAATAAGAAATAAATAAAATGAATACAGACTTTTTAAGAAGGTATGTTTATTTTGGTGCAATCTTGAAATCTATGCATAATGAAGAATCTGCAAAAAGTTCATGGAAGAAAGGTTTTCTGCAAAATCTATGCATAGATTTCAAACCTTTATTGCACTGAAATAAACTTATCCTTTAATTCAGCAGCGCTTCTATTAACTTTTTTTTTAAAAAATAGATTTATTTATTTATTTACTTGAGAGGCAAAGTTACAGACAGAGAGAGGGAGAGACAGAAAGGTCTTCCATTCGTTGGTTCACTCACCAAATGGCTGCAATGGCTGGTGCTGGGCCAGTCTGAATCTGGGAGCCAGGAGCTTCCTCTGGATCTCTCACAAGGGTCCAGGGGCCCAGGCATTTGATCCATCGTCTGCTGCTTTCCAGGCCATCAGCAGGGATCTGGATCAGAAGTGGAACAGCCAGGACTCGAACCGGTGCCCATATGGGTTGCTGGTGCTGCTATGCCACAGTGCCAGCCCCTCCATTAAGTTTTAAAAGTACCCTTGTATAAAAGAATATTGATACTTCAAATGATCTTATTTCCTTGGAATGATTTAAACTTTTCTACAAATATAGCAAATACATATCATCTGTAGAAATAGGAGATGAGTGAGAGATTACCTAAAGCTGTTAAAATCAATCTAAGTGAATGCTAATACAGTTGGTTTAATGTAAAGAAAGTGCATTTTACCTGTGTGCATTGGGAATTCCTAAGACTATCTCCCAGTTCCATGATTTGCTGGAACTCACAGGGACTCAACATATAGCTGTAGTCATGGATATGACTAATTATAGTTAAAAGGTACAAAGTAAAATTGATAAGGGAAAAAAGCACATTGGGGCAGTGTCCAGAGGAAACCAGGAACACGTTCCCAAGCATCCTATCCTGGTGAAGTCACACAGGATGCACTTCATTCTTCTAGTAGTGATCTTTGACAACCACACATGAAAGGTTGTCTACCAGGGAACCTCAATAGAGACGCAGTACCCAGGGTTTTTCCAGACTCTCAGAAGAAAAACAAGTATTTATCATAAACCATATTGTTTGTACAAATAGTTAAGATACAGTGAACCAGTCTTATCAGAGAATGATGGGAGTCCTCCTAATGTACAAGTTCCCAGATGCCAGCCAGGGCCACCCTTATAAGCACCTCTTGCTAAGGGTAACTGTATTAAATATACAAATATTATTTCTTCCTCACACTGTGTTCACTTAGTATTTGATTACAGATTAGTTTGCCATGAGAATTTTTTTTTGCCATGAGAATTTAACTTCTTGATGCTTAATAAAAGAACTTCTTACTTGATTTCCTATTAGTTTGCATTTTCAGGTTTTGACTATTACAGTACTTTTTGATTTATCCTCATGGCTAGGAAATAGAGATTGTTCTGTTCATTTTATTTCAGAGTAACGTGTTCCAGTCACTGGATATTTTCTATTTTAACATTTTTAAATGTTAGACATAAACATAGTAGGATATTAAAGATGAGTGTATTTTCCTGCAAATTAAATTTTTTTGACATACCATTTAGTTTGCAATTTTACATGTTTTTTTTAGTAATGGGTTTTAGGAATGCTATTAATCACATCTACTACTTTTAATCTTTTTTAGTTGTATATTTTTTCACTACTGTCTTTTCTTCTTGACTTATTTGGATTTTACAAAGCTACTAAAAAATTCATGAAAAGTAGAATTAAAAGATTAATTTATTTTGGTGCAAACAATTTTGAAATTCATGCATACTAGGGCTATTGAAAATTTTCAAGAAAAATGCATATTTATTATGAGAAAACTATGCAGAGATTTTAAAACTTTTTTTCATCAAAATAAAGTTTCCTTTTAATGCCATTTTCCGTAAACAATTTTTTTTTGTTTTAAAGTTTTTATTTAATGACATAAACTATTTTTTTATTTTTATTTATTTATTTTTTTGACAGGCAGAGTGGACAGTGAGAGAGAGAGAGACAGAGAGAAAGGTCTTCCTTTGCCGTTGGTTCACCCTCTGCAGCCGGCGCACCGCGCTGATCCGATGGCAGGAGCCAGGAGCCAGGTGCTTTTCCTGGTCTTCCATGGGGTGCAGGGCCCAAGCACCTGGGCCATCCTCCACTGCACTCCCGGGCCACAGCAGAGAGCTGGCCTGGAAGAGGGGCAACCGGGACAGAATCCGGCGCCCCAACCGGGACTAGAACCCAGTGTGCCGGCGCCGCTAGGCGGAGGATTAGCCTAGTGAGCCATAAACTATTTTTTTAAGTACCCTCATATGAACCTTTTTTATCTTTCATTTTGATTGGTCAACTGTTTTACTATTTTTTGTTATTAATTTGTTTCTTAAGAGATTAACCTAAATCTGATGTTTTGGTATTTTATACTTAGCAAGTATAAATTTGTTTACAGTATTCAAATATATTTTCAATATTACAGATAGACTGTTTAAAAAATTAACACTTTGCTGCTTATGAGTTGCGTAGAAGTGATAATTTGTCATTAAATTTAAACTTCTTTTTTTTTTCAATGTAATTGCTGTCAATTGAGGTAACTACTGTTGCTTCCAGGGATAGGATTTAGTGTTATTCATATGTGGGAAAACTTGACTGAAGGGGAAACAAAGGAAGAATCTGAAAACTCAAGTAGTCTGTTAGTGAGATAAGTCTTTTCATTCGTAGATTCAATAGATTCATTAAGTCTTCATGTGTGGCAATGTGCTGGATGATGTAAGGGATACAGTGAAGAGAAAGAAGTATCTGAATTCACATAAAGTTATTTGTGTCACTGGTACAATATCCTGAAATATCTATGAAAGTGCTTTTTAAAAAAGTTCATTAACAGGGCAGTGTTATGGTGTAGTGTGTGAAGCCGCTACCTGCGATAGCAGCATTCCATATAGGTGCTGGTTCCTGGTTGTTCAACTTCCAATCCAGTTCCTTGCTAATGCCTGGGAAAAGTAGCAGAAGAAGGCCCAAACGCTTAGACTGCTGCCACGCACTCAGGAGATCCAGCTGAAGCTCCTGGCTTTGGCCTGGACCAATGCTGGCCATTGCAGCCATCTAGGGGAGTGAACCAGTGGATTAAAGATCCCTCTCTCTGTCTCCCTCTCTCTTTAACTCTATCAAATTAAAATCTTTTTTTAAAAGTTCAGGGAAAACAGATTTGAAAGATAAATTGATTTTAAAAGATGAGTTTATTTTGTTGCAAAAAAATTGAAATCTATGCAAAGATATTTCATATCATTGGTGTTTATTGGGGCCGGCGCTGTGGCACAGCAGGTTCAAACCCTAGCCTGAAGTGCCAGCATCCCATATGGGTATCCGTTCTAGTCCCAGTTGCTCCTCTTCCAATCCAATTCTCTGCTATGGCCTGGGACAGCAGTAGAAGATGGCCCAAGTGCTTGGGTCCCTGCACCCATGTGGGAGACCTGGAAGAAGCTGCTGTCTCCTGGCTTCGGATCGGCGCAGCTCTGGCCTTTGCCCATCTGGGAGTGAACCAGTGGTTGGAAGACCTCTCTCTCTGTCTCTACCTCTCTCTGTAACTCTGTCTTTCAAATAAATAAAATAATCCTTAAAAAAAAATAAGTGTTTATTGTGAGCTTTTTGAAGATATACAGGTATCCTGTGAGTGAAACAGATATTAATTAGGAAAGAATTGATTTCAGTTCTAAGTAGAGAGATGAGGGAAAAGCCACGTGAAGGAAATGGTGCAAGGATTGTCTTTAAAGGGTGGATGAGAAAGTCATGGTGAATACTGAGGAAGCCAGGGTAATTAGGGATAGGAAATGCTTTTTGTCAGTAGTAAAACTGCATATATATATATATATATATATATATTTAAAGATTTATTTATTTTACTTGAAAGAGTTACACAGAGAGAGAGAGGTCTTCCATCTGATGGTCTACTCCTCAATTGGCTGCAATGGCCAGAACTGCGCCGATGCGAAGCCAGGAGTCAGGAGCCTTCTCTGGGTCTCCCACGAGGGTGCAGAGGCCCAAGGACTTGTGCCATCTTCTACTGCTATCCCAGATCACAGCAGAGAGCTGGATGGGAAGTGGAGCAGCTGGGTCTCAAACCTGTGCCCATATGGGATGCCGGCGCTTCAGGCCAGGGTGTAAACCCGCTGCGCCACAGTGCTGGCCCCAAACTGCATATGTCTTATAAGAAATTTCAGTAGTATAGTTTGCCCTGAGCATGAGATACTTGAGGACAGTGTGTTTGGATTTCAGATTGAAGAGATAATAGGTAGGCTTGGAGAGCCCCAGAAAGCAGTTGAACCAAGGGATAAATATGCTCAAAATAGTTTATAGTAACTACAGAAAGATTAATACGGTTCCAGGATTCAGGATGTGAGACAGTCATACAGGTATTACACTGAAAATTAAGGCAATGGTATCAAGGAATTCAAAAGTAATCAAGATAATCTGAATAATTCTGTTAGGTCTTGGAGAGATCAGGAAGAATGGTTTGAGAAAATATCAGAGCATTTGATAATAGCATTCTGGGAAAACCAAGTTGAGTAGTGTGAAAACAGAATCAACAATAGGCAGCATTTAAGTGGTAAGAATGCTAAGTTAGTAAAGGAAAGACACTGTGCATAGATGACTTTGTTGGTGGCCAAAAGAGAAGACTATTAAGCAAGAGTTTTTGGAGCCAGTAGGTGGGGCTTTTTTTTTTTTTTTTTCTTTTTTTTTTTTTTTGGGACAGGCAGAGTGGATAGTGAGAGAGAGACAGGGAGAAAGGTCTTCCTTTTGCCGTTGGTTCACCCTCCAATGGCCGCCACGGCTGGCGCACTGCGGCCAGCGCACTGCGCTGATCCGAAGCCAGGAGCCAGGTTTTCTCCTGGTCTCCCATGGGGTGCAGGGCCCAAGTACTTGGGCCATCCTCCACTGCACTCCCTGGCCACAGCAGAGAGCTGGCCTGGAAGAGGGGCAACCGGGACAGAATCCGGTGCCCCAACTGGTGGCCAGTGTGCTGGTGCCGCTAGGTGGAGGATTAGCCTATTGAGCTGCGGTGCTGGCCAACTTATTTTTGAAAATAAGTAGAACATCTCACTTGATGAAGCAGAAAGGAATAAAAGAGATGCAATGACTGGAAAGTTTAGATAAAGAAACAGATTGGTTAGGAGAGTTTCATTCATGGCAGGTTATCTGTAAGTGAAATAACTGATGCCTTCTTTTCTCAAGTGTTGGCTTAATTGCTTTTTCATATCTTAGGAAACAATATTTTCTTGTGAGAATGTTTTCTTTTTTCTAGTTTTCTGATTACATAGAAATCAGTATTCTATGATGGTGTTAAGTTTTATATATATAGGTAGATTCTATAGCTATCTAGCCTCTTGGATTAATCTGATATTCCTTGGATGTCTAAATTTTTGAGCACACAGTCCACTTGTCTTTGTTCATAGAAGATGTTTAATAATGTGTTTTTCTTTTACCTTCTTATTTATCTCTTTACTAGTATATGAGTATCAGTTGAATTTAGCACATGAGAGATGATGGTAATTCATTTGGAACTTTGTAAGCTATAGTGAGCCTATTTTACATGAAGAGTAATTTGCTAAGGAAGAGTTGATGGTAGAATGCTAAGGAGACATACAAGTATTTTTTTTTCCTTTTATGATTTAGAAATCTGCTTGACACATAGGTAAAATTGATTGTATATATCAACATGAAACATTTGGAAATTATTGTTCATATTTACCTTTTTCAACTCTCCATTTCTGGATTTCTGCTTTTAAAGTGTGAAAATTATGCTAAGACATTAATTCATCGAATTACTTCAGTGGACTAAAAATTAAGTATCTGCTACCTGTCAGAATGGTAGCATGCATTCAAGGTGTAATTTTGTCCTAAGCCTGTCTTGTTTGAGCATGTGTGTGCTTAGAGAAAGAGCAAATGGCTAAGTTTTGATTATCAGTACTATGTAAAATTAACTCCAGAAGGAAACCTAATTCTGAGTAAATTTTTAGAAGGGAACTTATGTATTGCAAGAAAGTTCCTAAAGCATGGTGTTTATGTAATTAAAATGTGGAGTTTCAAAAAGCATTTTTCCCAACAGGTGGGAAGGAGAAGCCAAAAACAAATGTAGAAGATTTACAAATTAAAAAAGTAAAGAAGAAAAAGAAAAAGAAACACAAAGAGAATGAAAAACGGAAACGTCCGAAAATGTATAGCAAGTCTATACAGACCATCTGCTCAGGATTGCTGTCAGATGTTGAAGATCAAGAAGCCAAAGGCATCCTAAGTGATAATATAAAAGATTACATTGGAAAGAATTTGGATACAAAGAACTATGATTCCAAAATTCCAGAGAACAGTGAGTTTCCATTTGTCTCATTAAAGGAGCCACGAGTTCAGAATAACCTGAAAAGGTTGGACACTTTGGAGTTCAAGCAGCTCATTCACATTGAGCACCAGCCTAATGGAGGTGCATCCGTTATCCATGCCTACAGTAACGAACTCTCCCACCTGTCTCCTATGGAGATGGAGAGGTTTGCAGAAGAGTTTGTGGGTCTGGTGTTCAGTGAAAATGAAAACTCTTCTGCTTTCTATGTAATGGGGATTGTTCATGGGGCAGCTACTTACTTACCTGACTTTTTAGACTACTTTTCATTTAATTTTCCCAATTCACCAGTGAAAATGGAGATATTGGGAAAGAAAGATATAGAGACAACGACTATGTCCAATTTTCATGCTCAGGTAAGAGGTTTTTAGTTTTTTTTTACAGTAACTTTTGATTACATGCTTTAGAAGTTTCTGTTCTTTGTTCCTAATTTTGCTGTGTGACTTAAAAAGGTAAGAATATAATGAAACCATTATGGCATATTAAGAGTAACTTACTTTCTTGATGTGAACATCAGGCTCTACATTTCAGTTTCTACTTACCTGTTTTACTTCTTAAAATGATTAAAATAAGATAGTTGTCCTTTTCTGCAAGTATTTAGCTAGATAGGACCTAATGCAATTGGCCTTGTATTTTTCCAGTCCTTCAACAGTTTTATTCTCTGAAAATCATCTTAAATTACCTTCTTGCTTTATATTGCCTTAATAACGCTTAGTACTGGGGCTGGTGTTGTGGTATAGTGAGTTAAGCTATCATCTGCAATGCTGGCATCCCATATATGAATGCTAATTTGAATACTGACTGCTCCATTTCTGACCCAGCTCCCTGCTAATGTGCTTGGGAAAACAGCAGAAGATGGCCCAAGTGCTTGAACCCTTGAGTCCCATGTGGGAGACCTAGATGGAATTTCAGGCTCCTGACTTCAGTCTGGCCCATTCCCAGTGCTAGTGGCCATTTGGGGAGTAAACCAGTGAATGAATAATTCTCTCTCTAACTCTGCCTTTCGAATAAGTAAAAATCTTAAAAAAAAAAAAAAAAAGTGTTAGTGCTGGGTCTGTCACATAAAAGGTGTTGAATAAGTATTGAGTATTTATTGTGGTGCAAAGGAATTACCACTTATTGAGGAAATTTAAAAAGATGAGAATGTGTGTGTGTGTTTTTTTTTTTTTAAGATTTATTTATTTATTTGAAAAATCAGAGTTACATAGAGAAGGAGAGGCAGAGAGAGAGAGAGGTCTTTCATCTGCTGGTTCACTTCCCAATTAGCTGCAGCAGCTGGAGCCGCGCCAATCCGAAGCCAGGAGCCAGGAGCTTCTTCCGGGTCTCCCATGCAGGTGCAGAGGCCCAAGGACTTGGGCCAGCATCTACATCTTCTACTGCTTTCCCAGGCCATAGCAGAGAGCTGGATTGAAAGTGGAGTAGCCAGGACTCGAACAGCGCCCATATGGGATGCTGGCACTGCAGGCAGCAGCTTTACCCGCAGTGCCACAGCACCAGCCCTGGAATGTATTATCAGTAAGATCCTTTGAGCTTTTCCTTACTTCTTCCTCTTTCTTTCTCGTCATCATATATATATAGGCACTGGTTTGAGTCCCAGCTTCTGATCCAGCTCCCTGGATGAACTAGTGAATGGAAGACCTCTCTCTGTCTCTCCCTCTCTCTTTCTATGTAGCTCTGCCTTTCAATAAGTAAAATAATTTTTTTAAAGTAGTGACTTTAAAAGAAAAGCTGTGTGTGTGTGTGTGTGTGTGTGTGTGAGTGTATGTATGGTTATTATTCATGGGGTAGCTATGACTGTGTCTGGTTTTCATGCTCAGTTAAGAGGTTTTTAGAGAGAGAGAAAGATTCCAGAAAGTTAGCCATATAGAGCAGCTATGTCATTTTATAGAATTCTAGACTGCTTCATAATTTGTCTGAGATTGTGCCTGAGTTTAATGGTAGAACCAGGACTGGTGTATAGTACTGGGGTACTGACCGTGCCAAGGAGTGTTCTAGGCATTTTATATGTAATTAATATAAACTGCGGGGCCAACTCATTTAATCCTGAATGCAATGGGATTTTGGTGATGAAGAAACAGACACAGTTATGTTACATGCTAGATGGCATGTTTTAGCTAGGCCTCTTTTTATAAAATTTATTCATTTATTTAATTTAAAGGCATAGTGACAGAAAGGCAAGTGAAAAGGAGAGAAAGAAAGAAACGGAGAGATATCTTCCATCCACTAGTTTACTCCCCAAATGGCTGCAACAGCCAGGTCTTCTGGGCCAGGCTGAAGCCAGGAGCCTGGTCTACCACATGGGTGGCAGGTGCTAGTACTTCAGATCTGCTGCTGCCTTCCCAAATGCGTTAGCAGGAAGCTGGATTGAAGGAGCACAGCCAGGACTTAAACCAGTACTCTGGTGCAGGATGCAGGTGTCGCAAGCAGTGAATTCACTGCACCAAACAACAGCCCCTAGCTCTCTCTTTAAAAAAAAAAAAAAACCACTTTTTTTTATTTTTATTTCCTTTTATTTGAAAAGCAGACACACACACACAGAGACAAACATGAAACAGAAAGACATCTCCTGTTCTGCTGGTTTACTCCCCAGATTCTTGCAATAGCTAGGCCTGGATCAGGCTGAGGGCAGGAACCTGGAATTCAGTCTGGATCTCCCACATGGATGCAAGAAACCCAAGACTTTGTGCCATCGTCTGCTGCCTCTCAGGAGTATATGTTAGCAGGAAGCTGATTGGATGTAGAGTAGCCAGAACTTGATCCAGTGTACTCCAGTATGGGGTATGAATGTCCCGAGCATCACTTTTATTGCTGTGCCACATGCCAGCCCCTGCTAGGCCTTTTTTTTTTTTTTAAGATATATTTGGTCGGCGCCGTGGCTCAATAGGCTAATCCTCTGCCTGAGGCGCTGGCATACCAGGTTCTAGTCCTGGTTGGGGCGCCGGGTTCTGTCCCGGTTGCCCCTCTTCCAGTCCGGCTCTCTGCTGTGGCCCAGGAGTGCAGTGGAGGATGGCCCAAGTGCTTGGGCCCTGCACCCCATGGGAGACCAGGAGAAGCACCTGGCTCCTGCCTTCAGATCAGCATGGTGCGCTGGCCACAGCACACCGGCCGCGGCGACCATTGGAGGGTGAACCAATGGCAAAGGAAGACCTTTTTCTCTCTCTTTCTCTCTCACTGTCCACTCTGCCTGTCAAAAAAAAAAAAAAAAAATATTTAATTATTTGAAACGCAGAGTTACAGGGAAAAATCTGTCTGCTAGTTTAGTCTCCAAATGGCCACAGTGACTGGGGCTAGGCCAGGCCAAAGCCAGAAGCCTGGAGCTTCTTCCTGGCCCCCTTCATGGTTGCAGGGGCCCTGGAACCTGGGCCATCCTCCACTGCTTTTTTCAGGCATATTAGCAGAGAGCTGGATCGGAAGTAGAGTAACTGGAACTTGAACTGGTACCCATATGGGATGCTGGTGCTGCAGGGTGCAGCTTAACGTGCTGAGCCACAGTGCTGGCACCCCTACTAGGCCTCTTGACTCACAATTCTGGGGGTTTCTACAGTATCATAAACCTTGTTGCTGTTATACTGTGTACATTTATTTCAGTAACCTTAAATGTGATGATCACTTACATTTATGTATTATATTACATGTGTTTCAAATAATTTTTGAAATAATGGTAGGATGGGGCCGGTGTTGTGGTATAGCACATAAAGTCACCAGCCTATGACATCAGCATCCTGTATCCCAGCTGCACCACTTCTTTTTTTTTTTTTTTTTTTTTTTTTTCAGGCAGAGTGGACAGTGAGAGAGAGACAGAGAGAAAGGTCTTCCTTTGCCGTTGGTTCACCCTCCAATGGCCACCGCGGCTGGCGCGCTGCGGCCGGCGCACCGCGCTGATCCGATGGCAGGAGCCAGGAGCCAGGTGCTTTTCCTGGTCTCCCATGGGGTGCAGGGCCCAAGCACTTGGGCCATCCTCCACTGCACTCCCGGGCCACAGCAGAGAGCTGGCCTGGAAGAGGGGAAACCGGGACAGAATCCGGCGCCCCGACCAGGACTAGAACCCGGTGTGCCGGCGCCGCTAGGCGGAGGATTAGCCTAGTGAGCCGCGGCGCCGGCCCCCAGCTGCACCACTTCTGGTCCAGTTCTCTACTGATGTGCCTGGGACAGCAGCAAAAGTTGGCCCAAGTGATTGGACCCCCGCCGCTCATGTGCGAGACCCAGAAGAAGCTCCTGGCTTCAGACTGGCATGGCCCTTGCTGTTGTGGCCATTTGAGGAGTGAACCAGTGGATGGAAGATATCTCTCTCTTTATGTCTCTCCCTCTCTTTCTATAACTCTGTCTTTCAAGTAAGTCAATAATTTTTTTTTAAAACGTAAGGTTAGCACTTAACATCATATTTTAATCTTAACCTATGGAATGTGTACATCATGAAAATTATGTTTTGTTATTAAATAAAAGGAGATTCTGGACTCATTAATTGTTCCAGTATGGACCTAAGTTTTGGACCTCAGGTACTTAATGAGACACCCACCTTGGTTGTCACCATCGCTTTGGGCTTTGTGTATAGCATGTATTGCACAGAAGAATCTCTAGGCAAATGCATGTTTCTGTTGCCAGCTGTGGCTCTAACCCCGTGTCTGTGTGATCTGCTACCTTAATGATTTAAATATGTCAGCTTCAAGGACTACTTTTGCTTCCTTAGACTTAGACTTAAAGGCAGGGAACTATGTGCAAGGTTTGTACTCCTTTTACCATGGGATCCTCTGATGTTGTCATCTCCAGTGAAAACCTGCCTTGAACTTCTCGTTTGGTTCCCCTCCTGCCCCCAGCTACACTGTTTAGTTGGTTGTTTAATAGCTTAAGAGACTGAAGAAATTGTTCTCTTCAGACTGGGAAGTAACCTTGGGTTTGCCCCTTTACATTGGCCTAATGAAACTAAATGTGATCCAAAGGAGTGATCAGAGGGGAAAAAAGGGAGCATACTTACTTAAATAATCTTGGTTCTCTTTCTAATCCCTTGAATTTTCCTGGTACAAGCTCTGTGTCTTAACCTAAGCTGTGATATCTCTTCACGAATTGATTTTTTCTTTTTTAGTAAACTTTCCTGTGAAGTACATGTACACAGAAAAGCACACACATAACACAAGTAAATAATCTGATGAATCTTCATAAAGTGAACATATCATGATTGTACAAAGTAGAGTATTACTGGTAGTTAGAAGACGTTCCCAAACTCTTCTTTGTTACCATTCTGCCAACCTTCCGATCTCACCATAAAAACAGGCACCCAGGTAACAGCCGTCTTCACTTCGAACATCACTCGTAAATTTTGTGTGCTCTCTGCACTTTACTTAATGGAATTGCATAGTAC